ATGATTCAGACACTTAACTGTAGTCAGTTAAGGCAACAACAACAATATGGCAATTGGTCAACATTGGATCGGGCATTCCCAAACGAGTAATCCTCTAGCTTGGTCTACGAATCCCGTTTATGCATTTTTATCTAATTCATCGAATATTCATGTTTCACAAATCCATACTAATATGAGATCTATTCTAGAGGTCTTCTAGATAGCCTTAACATCAATTCTTTAAATGTGTATATCTTAGAGTTCCTCTAGATACCTTTAACACTACAAATCATTTCATAACTATAACTGTATTCATTTTACTCATGATTCAATCATAAATACTTATTTTAATCAGTGGGTTCATTACTCATAATCACCCATAATATTCATTTATCATAATCATCAATTAACATAACAAATAGCGGCCTAGCTTCGAGTGTTAACACCCGAACTTACCGTCATGCAACACATATCATTTTTAGTTGTTAAAAACATCATTTTTATTGTGGTAAATCATTTTTATAATGATCATAATCAATTGGTATTAAAAATAGGATTTTAGAGCTCAAAAATAGTATTTTCAGACAAATTTTCGGATCAGGACTTCGGGGGATCGATCCAGCCCTCTGGATCGATCCAGACTATGAAAATTACTCCCAGGGGATCGATCCAAGCCCCTGGATCGATCCATACAGTGGTGTTTCAGCCACTGTTCATCGTCTTCTTCGTTCGGGTCCAATTTCGGAAATACCGTTTTTAGTTATCGAACTTCAACGAAACTATATGGAGATGTTCTCCAAGGTTCATAGATCATTTTGGCATCATTAATTCATAGTTTTAACATCAATTTCATGGTTTATGATTCTTGGTTCTTCAAACACAAAACTCAACCAAATGAGCGTTTATGAACGTAGAAACGATCTATACGAACATTCTAGTCACTAGATATATCAACGGGCTTACCTCGAAGGTAAATGAAGGTTTTGAATATTTTCCGGCGAAACTTCCGGCGACGATTACTCCCAACTCCGGCGACTTCGGCGGCAACCAACAACAGCAGTTCACTCTCCTCACTCTCAGGATTCTAATGAACTAATTTGCAGAGAGAATGGTGTAGTATTGGGGAAAATGAGTTCTCTCTTAAATAGGGATTGATGAGGGAATGAGGACAATGCTGAGCTGCTTCTGCGTAGGAAATTGATTCGTAATCAGTGAGTGGGGGAGGAGGTGCCGTTCGCACAGTGTCCCTGATTGGGACCAATTTTGGTTCCAGTTGGGGTACACTTTTTGGTTCAACTTTCTCCGAATTGAATTCCGTTTGCACCGTTGTGATCGGGCAATTAAACTCTATCTATTGATATAATTTTT